GAAGCTTATTCGCTAAAATGATGTTCGGGGGGGACAGGGAGTCTATCGATACACGTTTGTTTTGTGAGATTTGATAGCTTAACGATGGACAATGGTAGAGTGGAGGCTTATTACTTGCAAGTTATAAACATCAAAACAGAACGTCAAATGTTAAGGGGGAGGCGGGCAAACAGAGGTCACCTGGCACATGGCGGCACATTATAAATCTCGGGCGGTTGCACATGTGTCGTTTGTCCTCTGGGGTAGGCTGCGCGCCGCAGCAGGCGCCGCGGTCGCGCTCGCGCGGTGTTGCGGCGATTCTGCGATGTTGGGTTTATGAATTGGAGCTATTGCTCCATCTGTTACAGCCCGTTAAATGGTGTGTCGAGTGACAGACAGTGCAAGGTCATAGCGTGTTGCCGTTCTTCTTTTCGAACTCAATGTGCGCATCTCTTGTTGCTCAATGAGCCATGTCAGAGATGATAATAACGTTGGTATCATAAAGTCTGCCCTACAATTTAAGATTGATGGTCGGTTAGTTTTTTTTATCTCTCTGAGTCGACATTTATTTCCGAATTTTGACTTTTATAGAATTGCAATATGCGGTATTATCCGTAAACTATCTTTTCGCAACATTCGCTCATTTGCAAGACGCCTTTGATTGTTCGATTACATATTCTTTGGCAGAATTGCGGTCATGTTGTCAGAATCTGCCAACGCACGCTTTAGCTTAATATCAATGAATCACTTTTTTTGCTTATGCGTTACTACTCATATGTGCATGTAGGTATACCGCCGGTATTCTCAATGATCTTACGTTCTCGGTCGCTGCCATAGGGCGAGAACGCGGCCAGTCAAAGTAAAACAGGTCACTTCAAACAAGCGCCTATGCCAAGAAAAGGGTTACACTGTTTGGCAGAAGAAAGGTCAGGACCAAATACGGTCAGTCAATGGGATTGGGGAGGGGAGCGATCAGGTCACGCAACAGCCAAAACAGGGTTTAAGAGGGCTAAAACCATAATTCCAACCAGCTAGATGCAGTGGGCCTATTGGCATTGTGAGTACATGGGACTAAAAAAATGATTCGATATGATCTGCAGACACAGTGCAAAATATGTCATAATAAGAGCCAATCGCCATCAGTTTTGACATGAACCCAACTTCCCCCTCAATCCGTCAGTACAAAAAGATCAGGGCCAGCAGAATATAGCAGGTCTATCGACAACAGCAGAGACTTGGCAAAATGCCACCAGATAGGCGGAGCGAACCGTCACGATCGCTCTCGCCGCATCAATCGCCGTCGCGCGGGCGAGTGGAATCGGCGTGCGACGGCCGCGGGCGGCGGCACCAGGCGCGCGCGCCCGGACTCCCTAAATGTTCGCGCGCGGCATGCAAATCGTTGATGAAAGTTTTACGGCCCCCCAGATATCCGTTTAAGGCCGTGTTACAAGGGTAAGGAGCAGGGCCCTCTTCACTGCGCCTCACGTTTCCGAGGAGTATATGTCATATCTGTTCTGGGGTTCCCAAATACTCAGTTCCAGCCGAAGCAGCCGACCCGGAGCGTTCCACAGGTTGCGAGTTACTTGTTTACAGCTTGCCCGAAAAAGGAGTAAAGGGCTATGGCGAAACCTCTACGAAGTAGGCGTGGCCAGACAACGTCACTATATGGTCCATCACTCCGTCGAGAGACCAATGGTTCAGCTGCGCCATGCACAACGTTTCCGTGACATGGCTTCGGATATTGTCGCAGTAGGGTTTTGTGGAGAGTCTGAATAGACCATGTGAAATGTGCCCTTGAGTTCAGTTGAGATCATGCGGTTCAAATGTAAAAGCTGTTATTGAATTCACATTTCAAGGTTCCGGAAGGAAGGTGATTCATACCTCCCCCCCCGCTCTATGGAGGATGGCGTACCTGAACTATGTGGTTCGAACACAATTCGCAAGAAAATGCTTTTTGAACCTTCTAATTCAACGAGTCTGGTGACCAACTGTCACGTCAAAGCAGTCAAATATGGGGAAAATGTACGAGTCGCTGGTGGGACGGTGGCACCCATACAGTACGTTAGCAATGCCCAGATTCGAACAAATATAGATTATAGGAAATATTTTGATAGAAACGATTTAATAAGGCCAGGGTGGCCGGCGATGTGGATCGTAACGATTTGGTCAAAGGAAAGATTAGATATGCTTTCTTTCAGACAAAGGTCCTGAAGTCCCTACTAAATTTTTTGGTTTGGTTTCCGATCGGGCGGCTGGGTTATGCAATGGAAATATTTAAAATTTCAACGCCGAGGAGCAGAGGAGCACGAACCTTTACTTACGGAGATTGCATAAATATATATTCAATTATACCAGACAACTCGAGCCGGCGAACCGCAGACACGCTTGTCTCCGGGATGCTACACCATTGTTTCCCAAAAATAACGGTGACGCCCGGGGGCAAGTTCGCCCGTCTTTTCGATTACCAGATTGCCAGCGGCCAAATTCTCTGTGGGGAATAACTATTTATTTTATGTCCCTGGTAGATTTCCCGCTTTGATTTCAAATTGCGAATTGAATTATTTTCGTTAGTGAGTATTTTAGGCATGTGATCATAGCAACAAAACCAGCACAGGCCCACGCGAATGTAGACCAGATACTGCCGGCTTTCGCAATAAATTCTTGCTCTGGCCACAGCGAAGCCAAAAGCACAGAAAGATACTGCGTTTCCGTTAAGTAGTTGACGAAGCCAGACGACGAATCGAGAGGCAACAAAAACGCTTACGATTCGTCCTTACTCAACCTCCCGTGGATCTACCCCAACTGTTGGAATTCTCATTTCTTCCACTTTTATGACTACGTTCAGGAAAAGCGTAATAGCCCCATGCCGGGCCTGTGCCCTGAGAACGTTTCGGGGTGGTGGGGCCGCCCCCAGAAGTGCAATACGGCCTGGCGCCGGCGGCGGCTGTGCTTGTTATCTGTGCATCTTTGGAGGATGCATTAGTCAGCCGGCGTGTGACTTATCCCGTTATGACTCGAGTACGTCACGATTCATCACATGATCGTAACGGCTGCACAGCATTGGTCTGGGAGTATCGATTCATGAGGACTTGGGCCGCCTGAGCTATTAGGACGATTTGGCCCGCAGACCGGGGACTGGGGAGGTCAGGATTGACCTTTACACTCCTCGCGCAGTGGTTGTCTCGCATCACCTGTAACTGCCTCTGGGTCGGCCATCCTTGCTTAAATTAGTGGTCCCGCTGACTGCCTGAGCACGTCGGGGACCCATGCCAACATATCGCCGGGTCTGCAATGCGCCGCGCAGTCTGACTTATCAGGGGGGTCAGGGTGAGTGGACTGGGATGTACCTTGATAACGGATTCACGCGGAAAAACAACTACGTGTGTAGTTGGGACAATTTTTAGGGGCGTTAGCTAGGGCGGAAGAGGTTGTGGTGTACAGATGAATATTCGGGGTGAGCCAGAGGTCAACAGCTAAGCGAGCGCTCTCTCCGGGGGTTGCGGTGTGTGTAGTCACACCACTGGTGCAGCGCAAGTGTGTGGGTGCCCCCTGCCGGGGCCCGGGGCGGACGGGGGCCCGGCGGGGGGCGCTGTGCTCCACGCTGCCGTTCGGATATATGCGCGGGGCGAGAGCGTTGCGGCGTCGGCCTCGCCGCTGCCAGCGGCCGCAGACAGATCGCCCGCGCTGGCGCCCGCGCAGGGCAATGGGAGGTAAACTACATTTGGCCGCCGCTAGCATCAGCGCGCGTGCTGATGTTTCAGCGGCCCACCCGATCACTCCTGGTGCGCCGGTTAGGCGGCTTTACATAGTTCGCACTCGGTGGCCGGTCGGTGCCGACGGGCGCCGTGACGGCCGCGAGCTGGGGCGACTCGGGTGGACGACGATGTGGAGCGTCATACGCACTCGGCGCATGAGCGAAAAGTTGAGCGCAGAGCGTGCTCAGATCGGATAATTCCTGGTTTTGGCACTGTATTCTTGTGCTTTTCGATGTTGTGGTTCGCGGCGGGCGTGTTGCTTTTACATTCGTCGTGGTATCTGTTGGGCAGACTGTATTGTGGGTGTGGGTGGGGGCCGGCCCGGGCGCAATTGTGGTCAGGGCGGGTCGGCCGCGCCCCCGCGGCCGGCGCGGCGCGGCCGGCCGCGCGGAGGCGCAGGTGTGGAACGGGCGGCCGCGGGGCGGCCCGGAGGGGGCAGTCGGATCGGTGGTGCGCAGGATCAAGCCGCGAGTATAGCTGGGCTGCTCAACCGTCGACATTGGCGAGGGGCTTTTGGACGGGACATGCTCATGCCTTCCCACGATCGCTCAACCATCGTGCCTTGCACCTCGCACCCACCCGACCCCCACCTGAGTGGTGGCTACAATCCCCCTGGGGCTTGCACAATTTCCCTCGATATTGCGCACGCCCGCGCCGGCGGCTCACCCAGGGGGTCCCCTCCGTAGCCACCAATTGCGCGCAATTAATGTGCTGTGATTAATCACTTTCCAGTGTTCCTGCGGGCCGAGCGACGGCTGATAAACCCGTCGCACACCTCATGCGGTGGAAGTATGGCCATACGGTGCCCCCAGGCGAGTTGTTGGCCGTAGCAGTTTTGTTTAGTTCATATGAAGTGAGCTGCACCAAAAAAATTGAAAAAAGATAAAGAAAATTAGCCAAAACTATATGATACTATCGGCCGGAGGAGCGCCCATCTGCGCCCAGCGCACGGTCATGCGCCGAAGGCGGTGTTGGACGCTCTTCACACTGTCGGCGCCGCGGCACCGACCGCACCGCATGCGACTATTGAAAGCAGCTTAGGCACGGGTGAGAGTTTGGAGCTTGCTGAACGGTTTCTTGACATCATCCAGATTACATAAACGGCGCCTAGTAGACGGGCGCGGGGATTGCCTCGACGCATTCTCTATCCCCCATGAGAGGTCGAGCGGCAGGAGAAAACGAAGTGGGAAGAGAGAGTGAGTGTGTCCTGACTTCATACGAGCTGGATACCGGTTAGCGCCATGGCGCGCGACAGGAACGGCGGCAATGAATCTTGCGAAGATCCGTCGACGTGAAATAAAAGTTCGTATCCTGCAGTGCACACAAGCATCCTATCCCCGCTTCGGCAACATGCGCAGGCTGTTCAGAATTCTGTACGTTGTCGTTCAATGGAGTGCGCTTTTGGTGTAATTGTATGCTAATAGATCGACGGCGCAATGTTGCTGGCGGAGAAACGTGAGGGGGGGGGCGCCTTGGCGAATTTTTGTAACTCGAACACGCCAGCTTCGTCCCGAAATTGCAGCTTTAGCACGCATGGTTAAGGTGATTCACCCTGGTCAGCAGGAGTACAAAATATTGCTCCGTTGAAAAGCAACGATTGACACGAAAATGAAAAAAGTTCTCTGCGACTTCAATTGATAAATTAAGTTCCATAACATTCTGCCTTGTTTTTCAGGTGTTCCACGTGCCGTGGTGCTTTTGCTCGTGTTTTTTTTAACGAGAACCTTTTTTCTGTTTCGTGTGAATCATTGCTCAACTGTCCTAGAATGGTTAGAATGGCTCCACACCACTTTTGTTGAAGGTGAAAACCCAAATAACCCCTATACACCAGTTTTTATCGAATTTAGTGAAAACCAGGGTCGTGTCAGGGTGACGCCACCGCTAAAAATGGGTTTACGGACTACTTCATTTTTTCCTCAATGGTCCTGCCACGATGGCTAGAGCACAGACGATTGGGGAGTGGGTGAATGCCCTAGCTTGTAGAGGAGAGGGACCCGCGAGGGAGTGCAGAGGAGGTTCAAAGGGGTGAGTTCAAGTAGTCCATCGACCCTGAAAATTTTCATTTTCGTAATTAGAATATCGAATTGTCTCTATGGGCAAAGCTTCGACAATAAATAAGATTTTGAGATTCTGGAGTTGTAATATTGGATAGTACCCCTACCACATTACATTAAAAACCAGAAGAATCAATGAGGCAGCCTGACCTGATAGCAATTTGTAACTTTTAAAGGACTCCGTGAGCTAATCTGGAATTTGAGCAGACTGTGCATCGCAATGTTCCTCCGAACCAGAATAAACGCTTTTGCTTTTTTTTTGCAGTTCCTTGCTCAACAATTGCTGTACATGCCTTTAATGTGCATAAATGTAGAAGTTTCAAATTTCAGGATCAGCAAGAGTACTCGTCCGAGTATCGTACTGAACTGTACGAAGAGGACGAGGACGAGGTGGAAGAGGAATATATTGAGGAGGAGACGCGTACCTACAACGAACGTATAGTTACAAAACGTCGCGAATACAGTGGACAAGACGACTACCATAGACACCGCGAACAGGGTAGACGAGACGATTATAGTTCGAAACGCGGTTAGTCTCGCACAATTACACAAACTGCAGTTACGACATGACTTATGTATGTTTCGATTCTCACTGCCTTAATATTGCTTCGGAAGCGAAAGTAGACTTTTTCTTTCGGTCCGCTCACTCAAAAGTAAGCATCCATCCGTCTTCTTTAAGGCGTTCAAAATGTACGTTAGACCGGGTGCGGTTTATTAGAACAGAAAGCGACTTTTTCGCGTTTCGCAGCGCGAAACTTTGTTCGTTGCGGGAATCTCGGACCGCTTATGATCGGTGATGGACCTGAGGTTCCCGCAGCGGAGAATGTTTCGCGTTGCAAAACGCGAAAACGTCTCTTTCTGTCCTAACGAACCACACCCCGTTAGAGCTGTCCTTGAATATGGGACTGCTATATTTTCCTATACATGGAGGAAATTATTCAGGCTGTCGAGCGGGTTCAAAACTGTTTCACCAGGAAGTTTTCATGAGAGCACTTGGGTACACTTACACTAGAATTCCTTTTGCTGTTGTAAGAAATAGAATCTTGAATCTAGACTCACTAAGCAAAAGGAGAGAGATAAATGATTCAGTTACTGTGCATAATTACACAGGGTACAATCCCATTCGCTGCCATCAAGTTGTTTTCCTTCGAACCTTCTAAAACTAAAGATAATCTGAGCAAGTTATGCTTTGCTCCTGTCAGAGCTTCACTTGGCAGACACTTCTTTACTCATAGAACCGGCTCAAAGTATGTTGAGCTTGATAAAAGTGCCTGTTATTCTGTCAATCTCTCCACTATGAGGCGGGAAATTCATGATTTACTAATAAGTGATTGCGTTTGTTTGGATATTTCCTTTCACATGTTCCTTCCGGGCATGTAATAAATATGAAATATATGATAAAGTTATCAGAGGCTGTGTGAAGTAGTACCAGGTCGGGAGATCAGCTCTAACAATTCATTTCCCGTTCGACATGATCGAAGCTTTTTTTGTTCATCTGTCTCTTGGACTTTGTTATATAGCTTGTGCCGGGCTTAGACTTTCGGATCTGGGGCCGTATGCTGAATGTTGCGTAGGGGACGGGGAAAGGTGAACGTTGGGAAGATTCGTTGCAGGACCCACTGGGCAACGGCCGCACCTTTGATTTTGCAGCTTTGTTTTCATCCTTTTACTGTTTCTGATTGTATGTTCGCACGTAACAACCTTTCTTTACACCAAAAGCGGCGATGGTCCTGCGACGAACCTCTCCAACGTTTACCCATCCCCGTCCCCCTACCCAATATTTAGCATATGGCGCCTGGAGTTATTGCTCTATATGCATGTCAAATCGTAAGCGGAAACTAACGATAAGATGGTAGAATAATAGCATTTCTCGAGACCACGCTTTTGCTCGTTTCACGTCGCGATTTTATCGGTCTCACATGTCCTTAAAGCAACAGTCCCAGCAGGGTCTGCTTCTTTCAATACTAATGGCACTAAGGTATACGGAGGCCCTATTGGAAAGCATCTGAAGAGAAGTTATAAAGAAAACTCACCTGGGAAAAGCCCAAAGTGGGCGTTTAAATCCTCAAAGATGGGTGTGGTTGGAAATTTTTCGGGAACGCCCTTTTGCCGGCCGTTATTGGCTACGGAGGCATTCGTGCTCGTTTCGGGACCGGGGTATTTGAATTCTGTCCTTCAAAGTAATCAATCTGATCCTGCCGGTTGCAGTGGAATTGCTTCTTTTTTATTGTTCTAATGTTGTTATGTTATGTAACGTGTTATGTAATGTTGTAATTTGGCCACCAAGTCAGTCAGCTATTAGCGGAATCGGGGCTTCCTCAGCTAAATGGAAGGGTCGAATTGCAGTAGTTTGAGGGGTGATCGATCTGTTAGTGAATGAGCGAGAGATTGCGCTCGAATTGCAAGAGTTGGCAAATAGCCAACTGTTATAGCTATTCGCCAGCAATTGCAATTGGAGTGCATTTACCGCTGGCAGGTTCGGACAACTCGTCCAGCACGCGTCTTTTCTCATCGCTAAGGGCAGAGGGTGAGTTCCTGTTTAAAACCCTATTCCGCGTCTTTCTTTGGTTTTTTCATTACTATTGGTCAAATTGTGGGCTATACTACATTACCAACGGTTTTTACGTCGTAAGTTCGGCTTGGAACTGTTGTTTTAAGCATGGCAAAACCAAGGTTCCACGTGTCTTGAGTTGCAAAACAAAAATATTGCCTGGTTCGTATCAATGTCGCCCTCTCGAAAACAAATCTTTAACGTAGAAATCTCCAATACGACCCAAATCCTTGCTCTCCGATCAAGGTTTCTTCGTTGAATGCTCAACCTAGGCGATAACTTGTTCCGGGTTCCGTACATAGCAATGGAGTTAATGAATTATAGGGCCAATGTCACTGAACTTTTTCGATTCAGATGGGCGATTAGTGCGCGAATCTCCGGCCGGCAAGTTTGGTGGAGAGAATATCAAGCTTTTCAAGCAATGTCAAGTTCCCTTTCTTTCGTAAGCGTTGGTGGTTCAGGATGGCCCAGTGTTGCAGATACAGAGGTTTTGTGCCGATGTGAAGTTATGTGGAGGTTTTCTAATTGAGTGCAATGTCACAACTAACGTTTGCAATCCCTCTACATATAAAGCAGTAGTTCGATGGTTCTGTTTGTAAGCTAGTATAGGTATAGTAACGAATGGGACCTCCTCCATTAACTTTTCTGAAGTTAGATTCCGGCCGCAGGGCGTGAGCATTTTCCTCCATCATTTCGTAATTAATTGCTTCATTCACCACTGCGCTGTGCTGTTCTATAGCTGTGAAATAAGGAGTATCGTATAATCATCAGAAGAAATTTTTCCCACACTCCGTTTCATGCAGCCAGAAATCCACGTGGCTTACGTGGCTAAATTCTCGATGAAAAGGTGACGTCACGTGTGCTCAAAGATGTCTATTCGATGCCACGTCAATTTCTGCAATTGCACATTTTCTGGTTATTTGAAGGCGAGCTTATATGCGTGTGCATCGGTGCCACAGCAAACAGTTTCTATGGAACGGGTGTCGCTGATGGATTAGTTGAAGTCGCTTCTCTCCAGAGCATTAGCCCAGCATCTCCTTTCTGAATTTCTAAGGACACTGGGCTACTTTGACAGCTACCAACCCATGATGTGTCACTTTAAGGAATCCTTCGCGGAAATTTCTTGCATTCTTTCTTAACATGAATGTGAAAGTTGGGATCACTGGAAACAGCACACAAGTTCTACGCATGAAGATCCGGTTCTCGAAGAAAAGCAAACGTACAAAAACTACACTGTGCAATCGAAGGAAATTTGGGTGGAGCCAAAGGCGGGGCATGGAAAGAAGTTAGCCTCTACCCGGCTACATATCAGGCGACGCAATGAAAAAAATCGGGTTGAAGCGCGCGATTTCGGAGCGATCGATCGAAAGGATGATGTAGAAGTAATGTGAATGCAATAAAGCAGAAGGCCACAAAGAGTTCCCAGAAGGCACTTTAAGAAACCAAATGGAAGCATTCCCGTCGCCAGCATTTTTGAAAGACGTCCGTGGGCACTTCGAACGCGTAGCAGTCCTTTCAATTTTTCGAATTTTTTTTTACCATAGCAAAAACAATGTTTCTGTTCTTTTCATTCTTATCGTAGATAGTGAGTCTCAAGCCAGTGATTTATGGGGCCCCCAGACAATGCCTAACCATTTGGGCGCGGCCGCGGCGAACGCGGCCGAGTTGATAGGTGCCCGCAAACTCATCACAGCACAGTTCGCGGGCACCTCGAGTGCGTTTTCAACAGTTCGCGGGCACAATCGACTCGGCCGCGCCCAAATGGTTAGACCGACGTCATAGTCGGCGACGGACCAGATCGATCGCGATCGCTCCATTCTTGTCCGTCGCTTGCCAATTGCGGCACGCGATTGCGCAATCGCTTGCAAAGTGCACAAGCGACAGCCGATGGCTTTGCTCGATCGATACCGCTGCCAACTGCATCGACTGGGGGCGGGGCCAATCGCCCGTCGCTTGTGCACTTTGCAGGCGATTGCGCAATCGCGTGCCAATCGCTCGACCGAGAGCGATTGGCAAGCGACGGACAAGCGCTTGGTCCGTCGCCGACTATGACGTTGGTCTTAGAGATTGTCTGGGAGCCGATTTATGGCTGAAATAGAATCATGATTTTTCCGTGAAGTATTTTTTTAACCCGATTCTTACGACAGAATTCCTGGACGGAACATCTCTCTACTGCCGCTCATATGACGGGTCGACATTATATTTCTATGTAGCTTGTGAAGTTTTTTGCACGACGATTAGTGTTCATGCTGTTTTTTGTTTCCAGGGAACGACCACCGTCGGGAGTCGCGTCACGACGGTATGGCAGTAGACTACTCTTCGCAAGATTTTCGTCAGTCGCTAGCCGCAATTGATGCTGCGTCGCGGGATGGGGTCGCATCACGAGAAGGTGGGAATTATTAGAAGTAGATTTTTCCTGTTTGGAGGAATGGCAGAAGTGAAACACACATTTAATTTTGGTTTTATTACACTTTTAGTGCCCCAACATCTCAGAAACAAAATTTCCGTTGAAACTTCGTCAATGGAGTTATTTGATGCTTTGATTGAAAATACACTTTGGCCGTCCGAATATAGTATATTTTCGTTTCTGCACAGCGGTATTTGCATTGATTATTACGCCGCCCAACCCCATTAGCCCACCCACATTCCATGGGCCGTATGCTGACTGTTGTGGAGAGGACGGGGATGAGGAAATGTTGGGGAGGATCGTCGCAAGACTCTGGACAACGGCCGCACCTTGTTTCGCAACTTTGTTTCCATTCTTTCATCGCTGTTTTTTGGCGTAAAGAAAGGTATTTACGGGCGAATATACAGTCAGAAACAGCAGAAGGATGAAACAAGGCTGCAAAATCAAAGGTGCGACCATTGCCCGGTCAGTCCTGCGGCGAACCTCCTCAACATTTCCCCATCCCCGTCTCCTCCCCAACACTCTGCCTACGGCCCTTTGGTACCTTTCAAACAACTACGTGGGAACACTATGTATAATAGATAGCACATAAGCTGTTCGTCGGAATATTGTAGGAAAATATACATTATTCAGATTTCAGCTGCGAAGTTCATCACTAAAACCCATGCACGGCAACTATCGAGAAAGTTGCCATCCATTCTAGCAAGCATCAAAAAGAAAAGAAAATAAATGATGAATTAAGCAAAAAGGTACAGAGAAACAGAAAAAAAAGAAAAGAGCAACGATCGACTTTCTGTACTGAGTTGTTATGATCTGTTGATTAATGGCACAGAGCCATCACTTGCTGAGAGCCAAGGCCAATCGCCCCTTGCGCAGCCATCAACGAGGCGGTTTAATTTGGCTGGAAGGGCTGAGGGTCGTAGATCAAACCAATCACATGATATGAAGATGTCACAAAGTAGCAAGAGAACAGACTCAGAAGTGCCCTGCGACTACTTGCCACGGGCTATTGAATGGCGCAAGGGAAGGAAATAAAACGAAGAGGTTCGCAACTACTGCAAGGCTTAGTTCCTCTTTTTAAAAGTGAGTTTTGAGAAATCGAGGAAAACTCTTTTGAAAATAACTTCGCAAGTAAGAACAAAACTGGGTTCACGCAAAAAGTTGAGAGTTGCTTTTTGGTTAATGAATTTCATTTCGTCTTGAGTCTCATCCTCTGAGCAAGGCAAAGTCAGCGACCTACTAATTTCCCACAGCACACCACCTCCAGCCATGTCGATGACAGTCTATACATCGATGATGTGCATGAAAAGTCAAGAGACGTAAATATCTTACCTAGGGAGGTCGTACTGGTACCCCGTGAAAGAGAAAGGGGTGTAAAAATTTGAAACTAAAACACGGTTGACCCCGATGAGAACCCTTCCAAAAACGCCTCTTTCTCTCCTAGCTTAGGCTCTAAAGCAACTACCGAATAAGAGTTTATATTTTGGACTCCTTTTGCGGTATTTCGTGCGTTTTCCCCCAACTTCAACTTCACTTGTTAGCGCTCATTACTTCATTTTGAACACCAAACTTACTCCTATTTCCCCGGACCTTGCCTTCAAAGGCACAACTCAGGGTGAGTTCAGATGGATAAATAAATTTTTCTGAGGATAAAGCTGTTCATGAAGGTCGTAGATGCTGCATCTTCTGCTCAAAAAGCACAGCATGTAAATACCGCCAATTCTTCTCGTCAGCAGCATGGTACTGTCTTGTGCTTTCCCATCCGTTGTACTCAGTCTCTCATTGCACGAAAGTGAGCTAACCCCTAGCTAGCGTTTTCAACGGTTTTCTTCCTCTTTCTCTTGCTACCGGGCCACTTCCTAGGTTTCTTTTTCGAGTGCAAGAACAACGCGGGTTTGCTTTCGGGCGTTCTTTCAAGAGTTAGGACACGCCATAGCTCCCTCAATCAATTATACAAAATTGCAACCTTGACAGGAGTTCGCATACGTCAAGAAGGGGACACGACCATCATGACGGAGCATCGGGATCCGTACTCGTTCTATTGGCAGCTTGATCAGGTATTTTGCATATCTCCATCTCTCGCTATTTGTATTCCTTTTTAATTCTTACAGTCTCTACTTGAATTTAGAAGCGTCGTCGCTCTGAATCACCAAAACGCTACCCACCGCCAACTGACTACGTAATTGATGAAGAAGAGGTATGTAGTATTCAGTAATAAGGTTTTCCATAACTGTATGTATAGTGACTGTACACTGCGGTGCACAATAGATTGCACCCAATAAAAACTTAGTTTTTGAAAGATGTTTTTTAAAAACTTAGTTTTTGAAAGAACTTTTAATGTTTTCGCTGTCGATATGTTTTCTTAGAATTTAGATAAATATTAGGTACCGGATATCTTAATGTCGCTTTTCTGAGTTTAGGAATATTTGGGACCATTACCATGGCAAATCAATATCTCAGAAAGTCCCTTTTGCTTATTGATGCTGCGAAATGTGTCGCTTATGGTTTTCTATTTTTGGTTCACAATTTAACTTTCCCCTAATTTTTATACTTTTTTCTGAAAAGCCCGGGGTCCAGTGTGCAGATTCGCATGTGTATTCCAAATGCTTCAAAATTCTTGCTGAGAGCTACAACTTCCGCCCACCAGACCAACAATGCATTTGTTGGAGGGAATACTACCCTTTAAAATGCTCGGTTTTTCACAGTTTTCTCAAAAGGCAGTGAAGTCTTTGAAGTGATGCCCGCAATCGTTTTCAAAAAGTTAAATCATTCGAGACGGGGCTGCACCATTCTTTTGCAGAAATGGTAGTGACTGATCGATGATGCACAAACGCTTTAACGAACTCGATTGCACACGAAATTCTAATACATGTGCTCATCTGCTACTCCCGTCTGCTCAAAAAGGGTGTGTTTTTGACCCTATGTGGCAAAAAAGACTCCGGGAAAAATTGTCCCGTTGAGCTGTTAAGTTACAACTTTTCCACCACTCAGTACAGACCCTACTCTAGCCAACTGTATACTTCTTTTGTCCAATCCTAACTTCCTAGCAAAAGGGATGATTCGTCAGATAATGTCAAAACCGACCTACCTCTCTTTTTCGATTCTGAAAATTCCTAGCTTCATTCGTACAAGGTTTCCACTCATACTGCTAAAAAGTGCTAATGAGTCGTTCGATGAATATGCTGTTTCACTCCCGGATTCTGAATTAAAATATTGATGGTTCGAAACTCGTGGTGAAAAAACGACACTAAGATATCCGGTACCTGATAATATTGACACGATAACCAGTCAAATACAGTGTCTTTAAAAATTTCAGAGTGAAATGTTGATTTTTTGGCGGTGCACAATAGATTGGACGACTTGAGATAGTTTCCCGACAACTTCTGTCATGCTTTTGAAATTCGCATGTACTCACATTTTATGCGAAGTATACGCGACAGCGAAGACTGGTTTGGGACTGAAACGTGCGCCTCCTTGGCAAGGGTCATCTCCAAATCCCTAAGGAATCCAATGTTCCTAGGAGCACAATTGCAACTGTGATTGAGAATCATTCTAAATTGTTCTGAAAAAATAGGTGGTACGGATATCCACAGTTTCTGAGCGCGGCAGGCGCCGTTTGGTTAACTTCTTTTTGTTTTATTCCCTGTTAACTTGACGGTTATGTTTACCGACGGCGCACCTTGAGTGCATCATAAATAAATAAATAAATAAACTTGGCATCGAGCTCCACTAAGATTGCTATGAATTGACTGCCGATTGCGGGGTTCCTGTTTCGAAATGGACCTGTCTCACATTTTGAAAATGTTGGAGCACATAGTTCGACAATAGAAGCAGACACTACGTCTAGCTCAACATTATCGACATGAACTGCTCCCTCTTGCGAGGAATGAGGTTAACAGAAATTGAGCAACGGGGTGTTCTGGGCAGGGTCCAGCTTTACGTTAAATTTAAATTTCTCATTTTAATTTCTCCCCAGGTAATTTATTTCGAACACATTAACGGATATGGATCGCGTTAACGGCACTCGAACTGGCGCTCTTGCAAAAGTGAACCACTGCTGATGTCTCTGATCAACATCGGCGGCTTCTTCTCAATGCTTTGGTAGGCATTCTCTAGTGATGGAAGCCTTGAGATTCATTACGATACTTGTGAATGAGAAGCCGGGGGTATAAGTCATTCCTCAATAACACGTTGGTACCATTCGTTTCTTTAAACCTCTTAAAACCTCAACAAGCGCTTCACCTCACTTCAAAAGAACGCTTCGAACCACACTCAGTGAAGTTATGTGTCCCACTTTCGATCCAATAACAACCCATTATTCTCATGGCCGACATGTAATCCTGAGAAGAACCCTATCGGGAATATATAAGGTATATTAACGCATGAGATCTACGCAAATGAGGGGCGTGTGGCAGTTTTTCGTCGCTGAGAAATGCCATTACAAAGGAGTTTAGAACTCTACCGCCTTTGCTGGTTAGAATGCGCTGATTCAAAATCTAATCCTAGTTCCAAGGTTACTGTGAAGAAGGGACGCTCCACCCATTATTAGTTGAGGGAATAGAATTCACGGTTGTTTTTTGATACAATACATATCGTCCAATCTATTATGCACTATGCCGAAGAAGTGAGAAATTGTTGTAACAAACTTTGAAAAAGTTGTTATGTCAAATAAATATTCCACAGATATTATTCTTTTGTTTATTCTTGAACTATATTATAAGCGGAAGCAACAAAAGTTCCGAACCCTCTCGAAAGTTAAGTTTTCTATAGGTTGCAATCTATTGTGCACCACAGTGTATATGTAGATGGTAATATCTGGCTTCTCTTTGTGCTGTCGAAAAAACTTCAGTTAGAATGATAAGGAAATCCAATTTTGGAGGAGTAAGAATACTCATAAAATTTACAAATCGGGTTAGTTAGGATTTCCAGACCTTTCAGTGTTTTCAGTGAAGATAGCTAACCTGATCGTTTGAAATTCCGCTGCTCCCCCATCGTCAATAATTTTTCACTTGCGAACTTTCTAAAAAATTCCAGTTCCTGCAAGGGGAGTAAATTTTCGGGATGCATGAATCACCGCGTCCGCTTCTATGTATACGCACTTCGGAGCTTCCTTCTCTCGAAAAATTGGTTACCTAGGCGATATGAACTGTTGCATCACATGCCCTTCTCACTGTATGAGACCTTTTATCCAAAAGCAACTTAGTGTATTTTTTTCTCCACGGTAATGAAATCTCTTATAGGTTGTTGAAACGGTACTTTCTCCAGAATCACATGACTCTGGAGTCGTATTCGAAAATCAGTACAGTAAACCGCTACGAGTTAACCCGCCACCTCCTGCCGTTGAAGAAGAGCCGAAACAATTACCGCCGGGATGGGAAAAGCATCAAGGCAAGTTGATTAATTTTTGGTATCTTTTTCTGATCGGGGCGATGTAATCCTTCCCTGTATAACAAGGCATTATTCCAATTGCGAACCGCACTTATGGTGCACCTCCATGGGTTTTTGTTATCTGTTCAGTAACTAATAATCTATCAAAAATTCAATCACTATTCAAGTATGTAATGTAATGTAATGTAATATGTGTGTCCGAAAAAATTTATTGGTGAGCATCTATCTTAACAAATCGCTGAATAAATCAAACATTACTACCCTTTTCGCGTGATGGCGTGGTACACATGGTGCAGCACGTGCGCTCCGTAATGGGGAATGTGCCTTTGTACTAACAAGGGAAGGATACCAGGTCGAAGCGGCCATTTGTAACGGACATACACCACTAGATGTGTTTTTGGACGCTGATCTTGAAACTGCTCTTCATATATGCGGAACGATCCTCTGAACGTAGTTGTGAAGCGAAATAGTGCAGTGGTAGCTGTGCGGGCCGGCAAACAATAGGTCGTGAGATCGACTTCTTGGCGAGTTATCACCTTTGCTTTTCTAGAGGGCATTGTTCAGAGGAATCTCATTCATGTTAAATCATTAGCGACTGCCTATCCTGCAAATGAGTAGAGCTGGCGAAGAGCTTCGAACACTATGCGCGTCATTTGCAATGTCCATTCGGTCATGTGTGCCCAGATTTTCAACTTCGGGTCAAAGTTTTAGATTTGGACCAAAAGTCCTCGAAAGGGGTATTCTGACGCGCTGAACAAGAATATCATATCTGTTCGCCACGAAAGTGCCTGACACGTGCGCTACGAGTACCAGTGACGGTCATTTGCGAATGACGCGCATAGTGTTCAAAGCTCTTCCCCATCTCTATCCACTTGTAGGACAGGCAGTCGCTGATGATTTAGCATGAATGAGATTCCTTTAAACAATGTTCTCAAGAAAAGCAAAACTGACAACTCGCCAAGAAATCGATCTCACGACCTATTGTTCGCCGGCCCGGCCAGCTGCCACTGCACTATTTCGCTTCACAACTAATTTAAGAGAATCGTTCCGCAGATTTGGAGAGCAGCTTCGAGATCAGCGTCCAAAAACACATCCAGTGGTGTAGGTCTCGTTACAAATGGCCACTTCGACTTGGTATCCTTCCCTTGTCAGTGGTTAGGTCGCCAAATGTCGAAACTATCTTTATCTTTTCAGACCCATCTGGGTTCTCCTACTATTGGCATGTAGACAGTGGAACAATTCAACGAGAGCCACCGGTACGTTATGACTGAAATTCTCCAGTAAAGTCATTTGATAGGATTTTATCAATTCCCAACAACATACTACAGCAAATCCATGAAGTAATTCCAACTTAAAAGCTTTGGGTAAATTTACGTTCTACTCATGACAATGAATGAGGTGCTGGTGGCAGAGTCAACCGTGCGTTGTGCAGTTCTCAACGGCCTGTATGGGCGAAGAGCACAGACGGCTCGAGCGTGCGAGTGTGAATGTTCGCGCGAGAGGTGTCTAATCGGGCGAAACTGCGCAACGCACGGTTGACTCTGGCTGGTGGTGAGGGCACGATTTTTTGATTTTTTTTTATAAGGGCAGCTTCTGTGAGAGACAGATTAGGTATTTTTCGGAAACCACTGCAAGTAAAAAGAAGCTGTGTAGTTGTGACTGTTTACCCATATTCATTCTATAATGGAGCTTTTGAGTAGTCAAGAGATATTAGAATATTGGACGCGAGCACTTCCAAAAGTATTCTCATCGTCTCATATTTCCTGCTATTCTGGCTGCGTCCCTTATTCCAGCTTAGTATCTCTACTGAATTTCCACATTTTCTTGGTATTTTTTTTCTAGCTGCCACTATCGCAAACCTAGATCCCAACTTGGATAGCAATGCGTGCTATCATTGTTGATCGACTTCTCTGAATGAAAATATCTGCGAAGAACTTAACTGAAAGTCAGCGATTATGCTTACAAATGATTTAAGATATTTCTTAAAGATTCTGGAGTAGACTTGACCTTTTCCTTGTGTTATTAAGACCTTGGCGACAGCGCGGCAACTATGTGTGCCGTCATTTTTGCACCTCATCGAACATTGTGGCAACTTTGTGTGTCACACATTACATTTTTTTTTGCGCAAATGTCCGATTTCTTTCCTAGTTTTTCGTGTTTGTTTTATAGACCATACATCAATGTAGCTAAGAGCTCGTGGATTACGAAATGGCGAAATATTTTCTAGTTGGCATAGGTTTTCCAGACATTACAAAAATGTCTATTCGTTCATTCCTCGGTTTCCTCTCCTTAACGCAAACATGTTGATAAAAAGGATTAGTAGAAGCAACAAAAACCTGTTTGTATGGGAAGATATGTGTTTTCACTGAAACAACCACATCCAAATTAATTTTGGAACCATCAAAGGGAGAGTAAGTGAAAGCGCCTTTTCTCTCCTTAACACCCGATTTCGGTTGAACTTCCGTTGCTATAACTTCCGATAGCTCAGTCAGATAGAACATTATTGAAAACACTTCATCGCATCTAAGTATTGCGTATCTGCAAAATCCATGGATTTGGTGTGCGACGGCAGCTCCCGCAAAATCGCTCTCGTCCCAAGCGGTGCCAAAACCTAAAGCGCGCGATGTCGTCAACGTGTTAAAATGCAAGATGCGAGTCTTTGGGCACAAATGATTAATATTTTCGCTTGTTTTGGGGATACAGCAGTCTTTTACCTCCGCAGAAAACGGGAACTGTTCAATCGAGTTCATCATTTGCACTGTGCTCTCGAGCAATCGCTGCCACAGTTCCAGGTTCACTACATTTCATTCATGTGGCTCTGTAATATCAGCGATCCTTACTGTTACACTAAACCTTTCGTTATAGCGCGCTCAGACTCCACCGCGCAGTCCTTCACCTCCACCACCAATTTATTCTAGGACAACTTATGTGAGTAAAGTAGCACGCTCAGTTTTTTTTGTGTCATTAGTTGACGCCGCATGTTTATCTGAAAAAGCTTGTGAGGGTTAAATTTCTTTTTTAAATTCATTGTTCATAGCTTTGCTGAATTTCGTTCTCGATTTGAATAAGTATTGTCTGAAGTTCGTTCTTTTAGAGCCGCGAGACTCAAGCAGATGCACCACCATCACCTCAGGTGACTTTCTCGCTTCTTTGAATTACTGAAGCATTTACTGTTATTATCATTGTTATTTATTCATATTATATTATATATTATATTATATGTATTTATAAATTTTGTTTATTATGTTATTTATTTTTTATTGGCAGCATAGGTGCGCCGCTAATACTGCTCGAATTAAGTAAATATAAAAACAATCAAACATCGAAGAAAAACGAAAGTGCAATATTAGGGATCTAGGGGAGAATTTGAAATTATGTAATGTAACGACGTAACATCCCCGCAGTCTTCAAGTGCTAATAATGCCAGTGCTGGTCGTGAGAAGTGCGGTTTTAAAAGAGAAGAGTAAACACCTGTTACCCGTGAGTACCCACACTTGGTAGTTAAGAATATAGTTGTTCACCGAGTCATTTCACTTATGTACAATCCAAAGAAAGCAGTGGAGCACAGGACAGTCAGGCAACGCAACTAACCGAAGTCATTCTGGGGCAGGCCAAAGTATGTAGTAACCACTCTGATTCCACTAGGCAGCCTAGGCGTAAGACCCAGACCCAAGTAACTAGTCGAAAAACGTCTCTCGTTGACCTGCTCCCTCAACCGCTCGCATAGGCAAGTCAAGTCCTTACGTGCAGGTAGTGCATGTCTAAAAACGTTAGAAAGACCATCCGCTCGGGGCGTAGCAGCCCTCAAGGCAGTAAGTCTGTAAGAAAATGGAAATGCGCAGAGAAAGTATTTGAGGGCTCAACAGTGAATGCGGAATGATATTAGTGACTCAGATGGTCTTATCAATACATGCTAGTGGTTGAGATACGTTACACTTCTGTGCAGGAGAACTTCGACGCCACTACCACACAGCTCACCTAGGTGGTAAACAACCGACCAGTCAAGAGGTGAAAACAGAAAAAAAAGACAATTTTCGGAGAGTGTTTCACAAGGATGCTGGCTTGTAAACAAAACTTTCGTCCTAGGCGGAACTAGAACCAGCACCTCTCGCTTTCCGGGCTAGTGCGCTACCATTTACGCTAAATAAAATAAATAGTGTAAATGGTAGCGCACTTGCCCGGAAAGGGAGAGGTACGGGTTCGGATCCCGCTTAGGGCGAAAGTTTTATTCACAATTCAGCATTCTTTTGAAACTGTCGCAAGGCTAACTGCGGCCAAAAACAGCAGTTAACAAACAAAAACAGAATTGTCACAGGTAAATACGAAAATTTGATCAAGATTTACTTTTTCCAAATCTTGAAGTAACTGCCGCAAGAACATCACGAGACAAGAGATTGAGCTTTTAGCGCAACGATAAAAGAGGTTATTGGAGGTAAGGCCGCGGTGTCGGGCATCTGTTAAAGCATATGGAGACGAAGCCCACTTTGTGTGCGGCTAGTGGGTCTAAAGCTCCAGTGTTTACTACGCTTTTCGCGAAGATAGCGAAGAGGTTAAGATGGAAAGCTAAGTTAGATATTGCACGCCTACACGCCCACTTCACCCAAACAATCTAAGCCGTGCATCTTAACTAGGTAAATGAATATGACATAGTTGGGCGTAGTTCTATACCAATGAGACGTGTGAACGCGCTGAACTTTTCATTAGACATTTTTTCTGATATACGGGCTCCCGGCCTGTGAACGATATTCGACATGGGCGTTGGCCCACGCATGATTTGTAAATATGGGTCACCGTCGCCACATTTGACCATTCCACACTACGAACAGGACAAATAGGTTCCTGAACGCTTTCTCCACGGCTAGGTCAATGTGCACGGGAAATTTTAATATTGAGCGGAAATGCACACCGAGGTCCGCACTGCCTACTTGGTGAATTGGTAAACTGGAAATTTGACACCGTTCACGATAGAGATATTTGCATTCGAATTAATAGAATGCATGACCATAGATTTATTCAAGTAGACGGGTATATCCAATGAGCTGCCACTCAACCATTCTCTGAATGGACACCCTGACAGCGTCACGGATCACTTCACAGTTATCACGATTGTAGACTGCAAATATTTTCATGTTAATGTCATCGCTTGTATTAGGTTGTCTCAGAAGTTGGTGTGTATTTTTTGGATCTCATAGAAAGGGATAAAAACTTAAAAACTAAGGGCTGATAAGAGGCGCTAGAACGCAAAAGTGGCCGATTCCGTTTTGTAGTTCGTGTTGACATTGGTGTTTCCGTACTTGCAAGTGTTATATGGGGTGGGACGGGGATACACGGTTGGTAGATACTCGAAAGTGATATGAATCATAAAGGTTGATGGTAAGGATAAGAAATGGTAGATATGATAAGATGGGTAGAACTCAGACAACATCAACTCCATTACATAACCCGTATTAACCTAGAGCGCCCACTGTCACAAGTGTGTTAAGACCGGACCATTGTGGGTAGGGTAGAGTGCTATAGCCCTTGATATGGGCCGATAGAACGCCTGAGAGCGCAAAATTCGTCAATTTCGCTATGCAGCGCGTTTTTGCCCTAAAAATTCTATGTGATTTGGAAGGCTGACATTGCATCGACATACTAAGCGTATCTGGGGCAGTCTTAGGCATCCAGTTTCATTAGCAATTCATTACCAAGAAAAGCAAAACTGATTAAATCGGTAAACCATTCAGACTCCTAAGTAATGGTGAATGTAAATCAAAGATAAGTGTTATTGCTCGAACGATAAGTGAGCACTTTTCATTTTCAAACTAACAGCAAGGGAATCCCATTCACCGCTTTCTTAGAATTCAAGAGAAATTTATGGAGCGTTCACAGTTGGCGATCGTACGTGCGAATAGGCGAGTCGGCGAGTAGGCGATAAGGGAAGGATGCGTATTGATTTGTTGCTCCGCCTAAGGATCGATCGCCTAATCTCCCAAGCGCCTCGCCTACTCGCCTACAATGGGCGGAGTAAAGCAATAAAAGCTCAACGCATGCAGCTCTCCCCCCCTATTCGCTACTCGCCTACTCGCCTAATCGCCAAATCCTATATATATACAATTCTATATTTTATATATATATATATATATTATATATAATATATATATATATATATTATATATATATATATAATATAAATATATAGTATATTATATATATTATATATATCATCAATGTATATAGATTTTCATTTTATTTCTCGTATATTTCTCATCATAAACTAATCGCCTAATCGCCTGATCGCCTAATCGCACGTGCGATCGCTAGCTATGAACGCTACATAACAAAATATTTATTTAAGTATGTAGTATGTCTACCAGTTTAGCCCCGCGTATTCACATGGACTTCAATGAGACTGGGGCCTAAAATCCGACTAACACATGCAATAAAGAGGTGGTTTATGGAGTACTCCAGCTGATGTTCCACTGGTCCTCCAGCTTCGCTAAAGCCTTGCACGCGTTAGCGGGCGGAGCAAAACTGGTGCTCCTGTAGTGTACTAAAACAGTCCATATCATGACCAATATCTTCATTATTACTGAGGACTTCGTGTAAATGTGTCATCGAAAATACATGTGAATTGTGATAATACAGTGTGACTAATAATTACTACTTTACAGGTGATTCAGCTTCCACCTCATCAACCCGTCATCGAGGAACACGCATTCAAGCAGACGACTACGAAACGACGTATCGAAAATTCTCAAGAAAGTGATGGAGAAGAAGAATTCGGATACCGCAAGGTATCTATTTCAGCCGTATGTCCTTGTTTGTGTCACACTTACTCAGTAGACCCCATAACCTTGGCAAGAGGCTTAAGTGAATGCTTCAAGATGATATTAACTATGCTTTCGAATGCATAGACAAGTTCATAGGAAATATAATACATGGGTATTACTCTGTGCATCATTCAGATTTGCAAGATGAAATTTGGTGTGCTATGTTCCAGAAAATGTTTAGATCCATTTTCTATATTAGACTGTTTCCGTATGTAATAATGACGCTTGGTTAGTGTTGTTTTCTCGGATGATGAAATCGCATCACGAATCCAGCACTTTGTAGATTTATGCTGGGAAATCACATTCTCTTCCGTCTTTGCTTCTCGCAATTCTCCCTGGCCCAACTGGTGATCGATCTTGTTTTTTTTTCTTTTGCAAGACATCCCCCTCCTAAGCAGGTCGCCAGACGGCCGTACTCGTAATCTTGAGGCACCGTAGTTCCTGAGCCCAATGAGTTATTGGGGTTCATTAATCCTCTGGTGTCGCTGTATTTGGAGCGCTTCATTAAATGCACGCTTATCGTCGTCGATCAGTAAGATACGTAGCGCTGGACGCATTTGGCTGAGGGCCGCCGTTTCGCTTCTCTTCCAATGAGATTATGTAATGCTAGAAGAAGTGCTCGCGCCGACTTCAGCTGCTGAAGGGATAGCAAAGTAATACACTGCGGATTATTTTCTCGACATGTAGGCGCATGTTCATGCTAGGTCATTCACCTAATCGCGGTCTCTTGGAAATTTCTTGAATATTTCTTCACATCCTTTATCATATGAAAATTGTTTCTCCCTGTTCAAGTTTGCTGCATATTTTAAGCAAATTATGTAGGAATTTCACAATGAAATGGCTACGATTTTCAACTGAATGGGCAAACTGAATAATCGAAATTTATTTTATCGTGCTTTAGAACTATGTTTTTCTTTTCTCCGTCACCGCGTAGTCATGCTCAGTAATCTGCCATGCTCAGCTGTATTTTGCTTGATAGGGAAGTCAAGCCATACATTATAAGTCGTAGAGATCCAATAATTATTGGCCTGTCACTGATTTTCTCGCGTTCACTCTTGAAGCTGTATTGATTGTGTTTGCATCTCAGTTCTCTCGTCTCTTTTTTCAAAGCTGTGCTCTGCTTTACTAGTCTGTGCAGTAGACCTTACAAAAGGAGCTATAAGATAATGTTGGTGATGCGGACCACTCATAGAGTGAGCAGAAAGTTCAACTAAAGTGAAGCCGCACTTTGAAATTTCCCTGTTCTTTCGCTGGATTTTTCCATCACTGGGTTCCAAGTAGCACTATCTCTCTACTTTTTAGACCGACAGCCAAATTACCGTTACAGGTGTTTTCCCTGTCTGTTTCGAGCACGTGTTTCCTACGTCTCCTTGAATTTCTCATGATCATATTCAAAGAACAAAGCTTCTGCTAGCGATAAATTATTGCTGAGTTAGTTTCCTTTCTAGTCAGGAGGAACGTTCTCTTTGACCAAAATAGTCTGGAGTTACTTATCAGGATCTCTGTATCTCGGCTGAGTTTGATATCTGCCATTTTTAGGATTGGTTCCGAATTTTGGCAAATAGTTTGCTTGAGATTTTGAACTGCTTTGGAACCACGGTGAGGATGGAATAATTAGTTAAATGCATGTTTAGGTAACATTGAATAGAAAGACATTGGGGGTGGGTATTTTTGGCAGACTCCGTAAAGTTTTATCTGAATTTCAACCCCTCACCGCGGTTTATGCTTTGTAGCCATCGTTAGCCTTATTGCGTTCGGCCTTGAGTATTGCTACGCATGGAATGGTTGGCTCGTTGTGTGCATTTTAGAGTATTTCTGGCGAATCCTGCTTGTTCCGAACTCATGCTCGTCCGAATTGAGCACATAGATGCGGAAATGGTTTCAGTCGGCACATTTTCCATCGTTTCGTAAACGCTTGAAACTTTTCCGACGGTTTCAATGAGTGTAACATCTCTTGCTGGTCTTTTATTGTTTATAAGACCTGCCTTGATGGTGAGATTCGATCTTTCATGATGTCTCAGTTCGAAAATGTGTAAAAGGAAACTCGAAAGTCATTCCTTCCACCACTTTAGGGATATTTTCCACTTCATTCATAGCCCTTCAATATTCGGAATATATTGGGTTGTCCGGAAAGTTTCCGCCGATTTTGACTCACAAATTCAAAACGCATATCTCAGTTCAAACAAAGCGCCTTTCCTCGAAATAAAAACTATTACAATCCCCATGGCATTGCCTACAAGAAATGAGTTTAACTTATCCGGATGTTGGAAGTGGTGGAGTTCTATAAGCTAAGAATTCGGCGAAGGTCCTCTCGCCACCATGTTGGGTTTCAATGCTCAGTCTTTCTCAGTAGATCTTCCAGATGGTTGGAAAGGTGATAGTTGGTAGGCAATAGGTTCATTGTGTGAAATGCTTGCAGCACTATTCGTAGCCCAGCAAGATCATGCGTAGTTCAACTTGGAAGTCCGAGATGGAGTTGTGCAGCAGTAGGTAGCAGAGCCGGCGACACCCAATTTTTGACTTCTTTGGGCTTTTTACCCTCACCGCTATGTTGGAAATCTTATGTCGGTTACGCCAAATTCAAAAGCAGCCTGTTCAATAGCTTCATGCAGATCTTTCTTGGTCAGAACGCTCAGCTGATCTTTCTCAGTCCCTGATATCACAAATCTCCTTTGAAGTTTTCAAAATCGCAAGAAAGACATTTTGAATTACGATTGCACAGCGTATTTTTTGTGTATTCTGAACTAAATGCTTAGTTGATGTCGCAACTTGCTTCCGCACATTTCCGAGCAAGTTTGAGGGGAAACAAGAAACTAGTGCAATGCAGGCGGTTAAGTATGTTGTATTCAGAACTTAAAAAAAAGTGAAGAGATGATTCAGGGTTGAAACAACAGCATATTTGGATAGAGCGAGGAACGCTCTTTCTAACGATATATAAATTGTTAGCAGCTTCTCGAAATGACCTAGAAATAAATCACTAAAAAAATGAGCTTTAAAAACGGCGGGATTTTCCCGGACAACCCAATATTTATATTGCGTCTTTCAGCCAATTCGCTTTGCCGTACGATCACTGGGCTGGACCGAGATTGCTGAGGAAGACTTGACGGCTGAGCGAAGTTCACGAGCTGTTAACAGGTTTGTATCAGTGCCGTTTTGGGTCCAACATTCGCCTTTGTTGTTTATATATCCTTGAAACTTTGGATGCCGTATTATGAAGGTGAGTAATGACGTTAACATTATCTTTAGAAGAATAATTCTTTTTTTTCTTGTTCATAAGAGCTTCGCCGGTGTCGGTTTAGCTTGTCACTTATTGTTAGCCGTAGAGCAATTTTTTCGTTGTTTCTTTACGTTATTTTTCAACGGTATCGGAAATCACAGCTCTGAATGGATGTACGCCTACGTTTGATGGTACATATCTATTTCAGAGCAATCGTTGACTTGTCTACGGGGCGTAACGATGTAATGGACAACGTAAGCAAATGGGGCGATGTGGGTGATGTTATTCTTGGAAATATCTTTTTGAAAAGAACTCATGTGCAGTGTCTTCTCTGAATTCCTAAATAACTTATTGAAAACCAGCACATTCAATCAACATGAATTGATTTCTCGTTTCTTACAGGGTCGTGAACTCATTATGGAACTTGATGACAATGAACTCTCCCTAATCGATCCTGATACAATGACTGTAGTGCATTCGGAAAAAATTCAGCAGATTCGTGTTTGGGGCGTTGGTAGGGACAATGGCAGGTGTGTCTTGTTTTGACAATTTTCATGGAAATTGGAGAAAGGATGTTCATGTTTGATCAAGTAGTAGATATGGCCGTGTAGTCAACTGCTGTGGATGAAAGTGGGTAAACGTCATCCGATCTCCTTTGATATCAAACGCATTTTAATTCTGCTCATTTTTGGACAAAAAGGGAGTGCATATCTGACCTATTGCATCTGACAGCCCGATGTTGACTTTAAATTTCTTTCTGCCATGAAGCACTGGAACCAGTAAGCAGGTCCTTAAAATATTGGGTTCCAAACCAGTTATGATACAGTATGTGTTCCCCGAATGTCTTAGTTTCTTTTTTGAGGTAGATCAACAGTATGCCACATATAATTTATTCAGTTTTATTGGGGGGGGGGGGGACAAACGAACTTCTTCGATTACTGTGAGGAATTAGATTCACTTCACGTCCTACGTTATTTTTCTTGACGCATTGTTCCTTGTTTTTTAAACTATGTTTTTTCATTGAGTCTTCAGAGATCGGTAAGTGCACGCTGTGGTGATCTAGTGTTGGTACTTGATACTACCAAATAGAATGTTGTTGAAAGTATAGACCAAACATGGATTTTTTTAAAACGGCCAGGCCCATGATAGCTTATATTATTTCACTTCTCTGAATTTCCCATACTGTATCTATATTTCAAAGCATTTTGATTGGTGGTATTCAGTGTTGTGTTGCTGGGACTTGTCCGCTTCAGTAAAAAATGTGGTTTTGTGTTAGGGATATGGTAGAGTAATACACTTTGGGTCATTAGTAGTTTATGCGGGATAGTATATCTAGGAGACATCAATACGTCGGTTTTGCGTGCTTTCTGGCTGTTTCGTCCTTACTGATTCAGTTTTCGATTCTGAAAATATTATAATTTCTTGTCTGCGACCCATGTGTGGAATTTGATTAGGAACACATACCTTTCCCGGGTCCTAAATACAATGCTGAAAGGTCTTCTTCTTCTCCCTAGCGTTAGTCCCGCGCAGTTGCAGGGTCCGCTGTTTTTGTCAGCCGTCGCCACTTTGCTCTGTCCAGGGCATCTTCCATCGTGGCCGCGACCTCACCTAGGTCCTTCTTGATTACGTCTTTCTACCTTTTCTTCGGGGCTCCTCGCGGTCGCTTGCCTTGTACTTCGGAGTCCATCGCTGTTCTTATCCGATGGTCTTGTGGCCTCCTTAGCACATGCCCACAGAGTCAATCCTGCGTTGCGCAGTTCTCAACGGCCACGATTTCACGAGTTTCGCCCGATTAGACACGTTCTCTCACGCGAACATTCACACGCATGCTCGAGCCGTCTGTGTCTCCGCCCACACAGCGTGCGTTGAGGATCTCTCAACGCGCCGTTGAGAACTGCGCAACGCAGGGTTGACTCTGCATGCCCATACCGTCGCAGACGCTGTCCTCGTACCTTTAGCTGGACAGGGGCAGTCTGCATGACCGGTCTGACGTCCTCCTTTCTAACTCTGTCCAGCCTCGTCCAGCCGCAGGCTCATCTCAGCATCCTCAGTTCGGCAGAGTGGAGCTGTCGTTCCTGATTCTTGTTCAAGGCCCAGCACTCGCTGACGTAGAGTATCGCAGGCCTTACCACTGTCCGGTACACCTTCCCCTTGAGCGCTCTGGAGCACCTTTGATCGCAGAGGATTAGTGGACTCCCTCCATTTCATCCATGCAGCGTTGACCCGAGCCTTCACCGCCTGATCCACACTACCGTCGGCACTCCCAAGGTATCGTAAGTCCTCACCCTTTCGATGGTCTGACCATGGCCGTCCACGATCGGCTCTGCACCCTCTTTGAAGCTCAGGAACTTGGTCTTCTTGACATTCAGCCGTAGCCCACCTTCTGTCAGGACCTTTGCCATTTCTGCACCTTGGCTTGGAATTCTTCTCTAATATCAGCGGTTAAGGCGCTGCCGTGTGCATAGAGGATAGTCGTCAGTGGTTCCTCCATGAGTCCCTTCACCAGGCAGGCCATCCAGTGTTGTAGTGGAAGAGGATCGGGCTCAGAGCTGACCTTTGGTGCACCCCGACCGTGATGTCTACCACCTTCGTTAGCCCGTATGGGGTGCGTATAACTGCCTTGACTCCGTCATACATATCCCTCACCAGGGAGATGAGGTGTTCTGGCACGTTTCGTTCCCTAAGCGACCTCCATAGCACTGTTCGAGGTAGTCGGTCGAACGCCTTTTCCAGGTCGAGGAAGGCTAGGTAGCAAAGCCTGCACTTTTCGCGATACTTCTCCATACTTGCCTAGCGATGAAGATGGCATCTGTTGTAGAACTTTCGGGCATGAACCCGAACTGTTCCTTGAAGATCTGGACGAGGTTCCGCAGTTTCGAGTCGACCAGGCGCTCGAACTTCATGGTATGCCAATGTGATGCCGCGGTAGCTGGAGCAGCCCATCGCGTCACCCTTCTGCTTGAAGATGGGGACGATGGTGCTTGTTCTCCAGGCATCCGACATGCTTCTTCGGCAGACACCGTAATTCAGGAAGCGGTGAGCCGCCTCATACCGTGCTCTCCCAGGGCCTTCCAAGCCTCTATGGGTGCTCCATCCGACGAGCTGCCTCCCCAACCTTTATTCGTCCAAGTGCACACCTAACCTCATCCTTTATCCAGAGTGCGATGGGATCAGCTGTGACCTCTGCCCGCGAGTTGTTCTTGTGGGGAATTCCTCGTTCAGGAGTGCACCATAGTGCTCTTCCTACCTCCTCCGAACTTGGGCTGGCCTTCAGTATGGCGCCGTTGTTGCTCTTCACGCTCTTCACCACCCCGATATCTTGAGTTGCCCGATGTCGGGCTTTGGCCAATCTGAAGACGAACTTCTCTGCGTTTCTGCTTTCCAACTTCTCGTACAAGGCGTCCATCTCCGTGTTTCTTTGCCTTGGCTACGGCGGCCTTAGCGAGCCTCTTGCAACTCTTGTAGGCAGCGAGGTCCTCGGGGCTCCGGGTGTTCCGCCAGCGCTTGTATGCTTCTTTCTTCTGCTTCACGACTCGCTGGACCTCCTGGTTCCAGAATCACGCTGCCTTGTCTCCTCTGAATCCACCTCCTCTCCCAGTACCTCCATGGCGCATCGTAGGATTATCTTACCTGCAGTGCCCCATGCCTAGCATTAACACTGATTCTTTTGCGACTTTTAGACATGTTTGGTGTGACTGGGTGTTCATCAGCCGGACCTCGGCAGGGATCGAACTCGCGGTTTTCGGAGGTGCAGACATGAGTCTAACCTCTTAACCACTCGGCTATCCCTCCTAAATACAGTGCTGAAAGGTGCTATGGCGAAATTAGAAGCCGTTGTCTGAGAATGACCAAAGTTTCAATTTTGAAGTAGCGAAGTCTATAGCGCAAATTCGTGTCGCAAGTATACATTAATATGTAGCTGTATTTTATTTTTACTGTCTTTTAAAGCTAGTGATCCGGGAACACATGCTGTTCGAGAGACCAGTCGTCAGTGACGGAGCAATTCTTAGGGTTTTCATTCATAAGTATCCTTTGCCTTTGATGTGGACAGACAGTAAGCAAACCGAAATTCAAAAAAAAAAAACTTCGGTCAGTAAATGTGTGGGTCGTAACCTTCGAAGTTGTAATAGTATCGAGTCCCTTCCATCTTTTATGCGCTGAAGATGGCCGCTGCTTTGTGTTTGTCTTGCTTCAGCAGAGGTTCATGAGGCTGATTTTGTTACTGGTTAAGGCATATTAAGTTTTATTAATACGGTTGTACTTAAGGGACTTTGCCTATGTGGCTCGCGACCGTAACTCACGTCGCTTCATGTGCCATGTGTTCCGATGCGATACTCCTGCGAAGACCATTGCTAATACGCTTCGGGACATATGTAAGCGACTGATGCTCCATCGACGGCCAACTAGCTTGCATGCAATTGATGCAGTGCCGGAAAGACGTGTAATCCGAAGTAAGTCTATTGGTCTCATAGAAGGCTTTTAGAAGACTGCTAAAGACTACTTTCACCTCTAGCAGATGGTCTAGTAACGCCGAATGAAGAACCCAAGAAGGTGATACGGTGTCATTTCCTTGGAGTCACCCAGGTGCCTCGTGCAACCGGAATTGAAATTCTCAACGAAGCTGTAGATAGACTGGTGTCTCAGGTATGCGAATGATTTGTACGAGCGTATTTTGATACTTTTTCGGCTGATTTGGAAAAGACTTGTCTGACGGATATTTTGAAGTCTCATATAGTTTCTTCATTTACAGCACCGTCCAAATGAACTCACCGTAAACGTTTTTCGCCATAACTCATGTCAAATTTGATACTTTCGTTCATATTTTTCCAAACATGACAAAATTTCATATATTTCAGGTATGTCCCATAAGTGAAAGCGATTTACTAACGAAAAAGCACAGCTAGGATACAATTTCAGACTAATGAAACAGGAATGCTAGCGAAAATTCACTTTACTCCTTTGGGTAATCAGGAAAAGCTATCGGCCATGGCGGGACTTGATCTCCCGCGTTTCGCTTCGCATGATAATCGGAACATGGAAAGGAGCTATCAAAATCGACGAAAAATAAATACCAATTTCTTCATGAGTTGTGGCAAAAAGCTTCTGCTGTGATTTCTTTTTGGACGGTACTGTATATGTACCAATGTGAAGTTTCGGTACCGAACAATCCTCTCTACGGCTTTGTCTGTTAGTTTGGTAGGTTTAAGTGATGGTATAAGATTAGTTATTTATAGGTTCGACCAGAACGTTGGATTCTCTCCGATGTCTCCATAGCACCTTCCACGATTACCATAGCTGAAGTTGGAGGCGGTCAAATAGCTCAATGTCGCGTGCGCTATCTCTCTTTCCTAGGGATCGGACGCGATGTAAAGTGAGGTTTTCTCCGGCCTGAGTAGAAAGAACTGTTCTAGCTCTTTTAGCTGTTCACTGCTGGTGATGTATAGCTAGGTTTTAGAACGACTTTTATTGTCAGTGTAGTAATGGTCCAAGCAGGGTCAAGCGTGTGTTGAGCAATCCTCGACTCGTCACAGGGGGAGGGGGGAGTCGTACTGGCCCACTGGGAGGAAGACATCGGGCCGAATTGATTCAGTAGGATCAGCACCGTCGGAGGACAAGCATCAAGGATCGAGTCGATTTCAGGCCAGAGGTTTCCAATAACAATGCTATTCCGCCCACATGAAATCTTCATGATTCAGAGGTGTCCGCTTAGCATTTCTTACTTACTTCATTGTTTCATCACAACGCAAATTAAAGAGCTCGGAATTTGCATGTTTTCTAAGAGGTATTTTATTTTTCAAGGGAGTCCTCGAATTTGAAGCGATGAGAAGCACACGGCGCATCCCAGAGTGGTCCCAGTTGGTTGCGCGCGCTTCAACCACGGTTCTTTGGAGAAAAAATCTCAATTCAGGAAAAATTAAGAGGATCCTGGAGGGTTCATGTGAAATTTCAGGAAGGAGGACACTACTCAACAAGAAACGCAATCTACAGCGTCAAATTCATAAGCATGTAACCCTTAAAGTTGACATGCGCTAAGCAGTTTTACTCTTCTTTGAAAGTGAAAATCTCGAGGATCCCGAAGCTCCTACTTTAGTACACTGCGTTTCATAATTATAGGTCAACCCTAAATTTTTGCTATCCCAAAGTTGCTGTGCATTTTTTGGAAATGCTGCTATCACCGTTAGATTCCTCATCACGGAAAACCTTCATAGTGTTTTTCTGACAAATTCCCCCCTCAAGTAACCCAATTAACTTTTTAGAACGAATTTTCACCGTTTTATGAATATCGGGTCCCTCATGAAACGTTTCCATTTCTCACGATCCGTGAAGGGAATCAGGGAAGCGGGGAAATATGTGGGCTCAGTCGACATCGAGTTTACCATATCGACCTCGTGTTACTCGCCTCTCTTCCCAGTAACAGGATCTAGAGCACTTACTGAACGTGGGATAGCTGAGGAGCAGAATTTTCCTCCCATGTCGGCCGGCTCATACTGCATAAGCGACTATGTGTGCAAAATCCTGGTCAGTGCGGAGTGAAGAGTCGCTTAGGTAAATAAAGACTGCGTTTCCTTCAAAATTTAGGAGGAATTGGTGTCTTCTCTCCGAATTATACAAATAGTCCGAACAAAGTCGTACTGAAAATGCGGCCTTCCGCGAGCAAAAACACCGTGTGGTGAGTAAGCCAGCAGAGGCAATAACATCTTCAACGGATGATGAAGAGCGTTCCAAGATTGTTTGGGCGCTACAAGATCGCAAGTCTCCATTTCTCCGTGGAAAAGGCTCGACTTAATGAGCGATGCTGTGGCTGTTAAGACCCTTCGCAATCTTGGACTCTACCTCCTTGTTTCGTTCTACAGGTGGGTCTGAGATTGACTGAAAAGTTTATTTGGTGGATATGGTAGAAAAAGAGGGACAGGATGATCGCGTGAAAATCGCAGATGGTTTCAATGTAACGCAATTTCGGCGTGAATCCTTATGGTTTGCGGCAACTTTGAACGACTGAGTAGCTAGAGCTCGCTTTTGTTCCCGTTCACAAAAATCCACAGGGTATCGTGAAGTTCTTTCGAAGCGAGTCCTACCATTTTTCAACAGGATCCCTCTATCTCGATTTTCACACACGATAACGCGGCTGTCATGCCGGTCCCTCCGCGCCAGATGAATTGCAGGAAAAAATGTGGCAGTTATCTGGTGGCACCATGTTATCTGAATTAGATTCCAATAGAGAATCATTGGGCCTATATTGTTATAAAGTTCCACAGCAAAGTAAAGCAAACTGGAACAGCCGAAAAGCTGAAAAGGTCGATCATCGGCGCCCCAGACGAATTTCGATCCTACTGTAATAGCTAATTTGGGTAGCCAGCATTTCAAAACATATTATTGTGTTCCTTATGATTATTGGGGGGTCATACCATTATTGAAAATTCGTGACGTTTTTTGTTATAGTAAAATCTCTCGACAAGTGATGTGTAGTCATATTTGCGAAACGGTGAAAATACGTAAGGAAGATACTTCAATAATTCTGAATCGAGATTTCTTCAGAAATCAAGTGTCAAGGTTTTTCGTTATGGGGAAACTATTGGTACTAGCGGCATTTTCCAAAAATGCACAGCAACTTTGGAGTAGCAAAAAATTAGGGTGGACCTATATTTATGAAACGCAGTGTATATAATCGCCCTTGAGAGGAGCTATAGTCGTTGAAATAGTGTCAATGTGGCGAAAAAGTATCCTTCGGCGGTACTCGCGGAAATCCTCAACGTGGCCATTTTTTGAATAGTGGACGTATTTAGCAGTTCTAGCAGCTGTTGAATAGAGCAAATCTTCTATTTTATGATGACATATTAAATTTTGAACTGGATGAAACTCCCAACTCTGCTTTCAGATTGAAAATCCGCCATATAAATAAAGTCATTTGAATATTTGTTCAAATTTCAATAGTGCGTAAGCGCTCCACGGTCAACGCCAGATCAATCAACACACAGCTGGCTGAGGCGATACCAGGCTTTTTGTAACTGCAAGGGGGACGCGTAGATTGAGAACCATACCCTGTGTAGTGTTAAAATTTGGTAAGTCCTGCGAAGGAAATAAATAAAGAGATGTTTCATAGTATGCCATTTTTAGTGACTAGTTTGTCGTTTTTTGCTCCTTCGTTTGCTCGTTTGGTAGGACTCATCAATAATGATCACTCTTTGAGTTTTCCACTTTTGCACGTTAAACGAATTTTTTGGTGGACGGTGGGGTAGCAGGGCTTTTTTATGAACAGTTTTGGGGGATAATTATACAACTTTTTCATAGTTCGGCTTTTAAGTCGTTTCATGGACTCCAGCCTCTGGGGGAAGAAGGGGGAGGGGAGTCGAATTTCCTATCTTTCCTCGACGGTTCGCTTTACCCTTGATCCAAGCATCTAAGAAAGGGGCTGGAACAGTAGACATTCTGGCCATTCTCTGTGACGTTTAGACAAAAATCACTTAGTTTCCCTTGCATATGCTTTGCCTGCCTAGCAGAATATTCCCTTTTGTTCCACTATCCAGGTGAGCTGATCATTTAATCGACTGATGGTCATTGATCGTTGAATCCTTCCTCTAGATGGAAAGCTAGATTACCTTGCGCAGGACGTCGGGGATTTCACCCGGACATGCCCTTGCTACTACGCTACCATCACCTTCGGAATTGCTGTCCTTTAATGTTGACTTTGATTGCCATGCTTTAATTTTAGGCACTGTGCTTTCATTATGCACACATCATCGGAGAACTTCATGTGTTACGTGTTCCATGTTGAACCGTCGGCAGCAGCGATGGCAAAAACGATTGAAGCTGCATGTAAATTACGCTACCAGAAGGTGTTAGATGCCCATGCTGGACGCGCACCGCAGCATATCAACAATCATGACACCTCTTCAATCGGCAAGGTTTCCGAAATTACAACCTATTTCCTCTATCTTACTTTCCGTGTGGTGTATTAACAATAACTATCGGTCATATTCCCGACATAAGGTAGAGTGCCGTTTAGTTGCACTGAAACCTTAATTACGTTCATGACCGTCTAGCACTGACGATGAGAACCTTTCAGGCTTATAGTTATCGGGGCACTCAAATTGTTGCGATTTTGATGTATTGAAAAGTGTCTTACGCTACTTAAAGGACGAATTCACGCTGGCAATGCAACCCATTTCAAATTACTTAGCGATGGTGAGTGGTACACTAAAGAAGGAAAAACCATGAGAAACGGCCCAGAACCTTAGAAATGGGGCTCCTTTTTTGCCCATTGATTTGAGCATTGCTGCGACCCTCATCGCTGTGCCCTCTTCAGCACTACGCTCTCACCTATCTAATCACTCGCTACGTATAGGCCTGCGGCGAGTGACCAGATGATCGGTGGGCGTGCACTGACCCGCCGCGCTAAGACTGAGCCTTAATAGGCCGTAGAGGTCAACTCCTTCGGTGCCAATTACGCTTCAGTCCGCACCCTTAGGAGATCCGCGGGTCCCTCAACTAGGTGAATTACTCCTTCTTCGAAATTCACTCTAATTGTGAATTCATCTTTTAAGCAAAATCAGTTTTGATAAATCTGCTTTTCATTAAAGGCAATGAGAGAATTTTTCTGTGGTGAAATGTGAGATGATAACTGTAGGTGATGCGGTAATGACGAAGAATTTATGAGAAGCGACGGTCTAATACTCTCGAATCGCACAGTGTTTACTGGTGCTGGACGAGGTTTTACTATGCCTGTCATCGTCAAAGTAAGCGCGTACTATGCTTCTGGGCTGAAGGGGTTTCTTGTCTCTATACTTCAAGCCGTCTTTTGTCCTTCTTCTAAGTACCACCGAGCTCATAATCGCTCCCTGTATCAGCTGCCGTCTCGTTCATCATCGAGCGTCTCCATTCGTCCCTGTCGCGTGCAAGAGTGGTCCAGTGTCCTCCTCATTCGGGGGACACGAGGCTTCTCATTCCTTTCGTTCAAAGCTTTCATGAGAAATCTGACTGTCGGACAGACGGTCGTCCAGCTGTTCATTTGACGTCCCGAGGCATTCAGTCGGTAACCGCTCTGGTCCAACGGTCATCATAAAATCGCATGACGCGTCCGGCCCACCTGATCTTCGATTCCTTGGCGGAAATGGCAGCGTTCCTGATCTTCGATCGTTGACGTAGTTCTAAACTCCGATTTCCCCTCTGCACTTGCGTGTATGGGGTGACTCCAAGCACAGTCCTCTCGGCAGCGCGTTGGACAACACTGACCACATGCTCGCTCCTGCCTGCGCAGAGTCCAAATCTCTGAGGCGTAGGTTAGGGCAGGAAGGACTGCGCAATCGAAGAGCTGGGCACGGAGCCGGATGTTCCTCGTCTTCTTCATACCTACTGTAATGTTCTGTAAGCTCACAATCAGTGCAATTAAACTGGACTGTATTTTGAATTGCTTGAAGAATAACCCATTAACCACCAGCTTGAATATTGAAGTGTGAAATCGTTTTATAGGGATGGACAGAGTCTCTGCGTGATGTGTTCGGCTCGGTAACACAGCGAATTGTGCCGTCGCGATCATTGCAAAGTATATGAGGATTGATCAACAGACTCATTTTTGGGGCATTTCCACTTGCGTTTCGCCGATTTGTTTTGTTGGTATTTTATGTTGTAGCTCACCACCTTTTGGTAACCATTTGTAGAACATTTCCGGCTACAGCTACTACAGAAAATTTTGTCTACCTATTGCACAAGAATTCTAGAAATATGTTATCGTGACGGTGGCACAAAGGTGAAGATCTGGCAACATGAAAAGTATCGGTTGCAATCATTTCAATTGGACGATTTCACTGAATCGTTTTGATACCTATGATTCATAAAATCTTGACGATAGCCTGAGAGGCCATAGCTTTCTGTATTTCCCATTATTTTTGTATTTGTATCCATAACAAGGTTCATTGTTCACTTCCGTGCTGATATTCTTTAGCTATGTCATTCCCTTTCTTCTGTTTTTTTTTGCTTTATAATACATCAGAGCCTTTCCTGGAGGAAATAGTCATTTTTGTTTTTTATTGATCGATTATTACTCGACAGCTTGGATATTTTTCAAAATTCGCTCAGCACGTAATGCCTTACATAAGAGTCACATTAGGGTTTGCTAGTTTTGATGAAAGGTAACCCTCATCATTCTATGCATCTGTAGCCAAACAAATGTCGCATAATAACTGCTTGAATTTCTATTTAGATGAGATATCCTACAATAAATTGTCATGATGACAATGTTGTGTGCTTGAAATATTTGTTTGCTCTTTATTTATTTATTTAACTATTGTACAGCGGTGACAAGGGGAGATGGTACAAGGTGACGACAGTTACAAAAGAAGGGAACAGAACAGATGAAAGTTATAGATTGTATAATAAAATAATTATAGGATAAACAATGTTAAATAATTTATTTATTAACTCATTATTTACTCATTAACAAGTGCATCTTATTTGATAAAAAGAAAAAGGAGAAAAAGGGAGCTTCGAGTCGAACTTGAAACCGGTGTACGAAACCTTTCTCTATGTTCTGTGTCGGGAAGGTAGGTGCAGACGGCAAGATTGCGTTTCCTACCGCAGTTCCTAGCAGTGCGAGTGACGGTCGAGGAATTCCTTGACCATGGCTCTGTACTGTGCGAGAATGGTGCCAAGAGTGAACGTACATGCGGAGGGCGCAGACGGCTCGCGCTTTTCGAGTGTGAATGTCAGCGCGGGAGGACGTAACTGATCAGACAAAAATTCTCAACGTGCCCTTGGGGAATCCTCCACCGATGTTCACCCTGGTTTCTAGCGATGCTAAACGGGGATTCGTGGGCCAAGGGCAACGAAAGCAATTCAAGAATGGAGGCAGGGTAGAGCTCTCGTGTACGGCGGGGTTTTATTATTTTATTTACAGGTCAATCATAACAGTGAGCAAAAATTATAATTGGAACCCGCGATGTCACAAGATTGATTGACTCAAAATCCAGTTAAGACTCGCAGGACAGGTGAATTCAACACAACGTTACCAAACAAAAGTCCGAGCAGATCTGGAATCTAGGTGGCTTTACCTTTTAGAATCCTTCCACTGTTCCTCAAAAATTCCTTTGATTTCCCTGTTGTGAAGTGGCCAACAGGAACCTCAAAGAAGGTTGCACTTCCTATTTTCAGAGACTATGTCTTTCTTGGTATCCGACACGTGGCCAGGGTCACTCGCGCGCCGCGCAAATTCCAAAATTTCTACGATCCCATCCCTTTTAGAGAGTATCAGTACGACCCCCCGTATTAGAAAGTATTAGCTATTTGTGTCCTTTTACATGATTCTATGCCCATCATCGATGTATGGTCCTTCATCAACATGGAAAGAAGTGGTGCGCTGTGGGAAGTCTGCGCGCTTTGTTCCGCTTAGGGAATGGGAATCGAATCAACATGGATTTTCACCCATTAAATAGAAGTAATTTCCAATTTTTTTTTTATGATATCAGGCATGGTTGTGATCGCGACCTCTACTTCCAGGAAACTACCAAGTTTTCCTTTATTCTTTAGTTCTTTCTCTTTTCTTTCTTGAAAAAGGCGCGGTAATACAGCAACGCCGCTTGGCAAGCATTCGGTTGAGCAGCACAACGGGAACGATTTTGGTATAAAGTGCAAAATTCTAGCGCACGAGGCTGAGAGTTTTGCCAGAAAAGCGCTTGAGGCTTTCTAGATTCATGCAAAAATCCTAGAATTAATGGCCGCAATGAGTGTTTAAAAACAAACTCTTCACCCTTCTGAAGTGCTGACTGGACAGCATCCACCGAGCTGTGGAAGCCTTCTCAGATCTTACTCTCTAACATCTTCGCACAGAAAAGTTCACAGGTTTGAAGGCCTATGAAGAAAAAATGTCACAATTCCTTGCTCCACTAGTCGGGGAATTGCGCGTCCAGAACGGCTTCGATCTTTCGGATGCGTATTAGGGAGCCGGACTTCATTGGGGAGCAGTGTGACTCACGGTGGCTCCATCGTTGTGAGTGGCCCGGTTCTAGGTGATTGCCCTAATCCTCCGAGTGTGCACAGTGCTCGATCTCTCACCTGTTCCAATCCCAGGGATGCTCATCTGAACCTTGAGAGCAGCGGAGATAGAGTGGCGAAGAGTAGAAGAGGGAATATCGAGCCGCTCTGCGGAGTCGCAATTTTGGAGACAGTGCTTGGGCAGTCTCGTGATTATGGGTCAATGTGATGAAAACTTCATAGCGAGAGTTTACATGAACTTTGGACCAAATAAGTTATGCACCTTCCCAAACAGCTCAAAAGCTTCCAAAAACTTTCGAAATTTTCCAAAAATACTTCACGGTTCAGTGTAAGCAAGCGGGCGGTCCATTTCGCGTCCTATACAGCCACCCTGTACATTGTGCGATGGTGAGACAAGTCTACCCCATCCACCTCTTCCTGACTTCACCGTGGCCACTGAGCTTAGGCACCATCTTCGCTGCCTTTCTAGCAGTAACGCCGCTTCTTCCTATACCTTTCTAAGCTTTCCAACGCGAAAGTTTTCAATTACGAAGGAATGTAGGTTCAAGAATAGGTAGTGTTTGTAACAACTCTCGAAATTCCTTCGTCGCATAATCTTTGGCCAAATTTACGCTTGTTTCTCATTTCTCATTTCTCATCAACTTTCTTTTCATTTTTTATAAGAAACAGTTGATCAAAAATAACCACCGCCATGCTTAAAGCAACAATCCAGGAACGAATTCGCGTGTAAGGACCACCTATAATGACGTTGCAGGTGAGAAGTTGGTCAATGGAGAAAGAAAAAGTAGAAAAAACGTCGGGCAGGGGCTTAGCAGGGACTCCCCCTGCCGTTTAGGGAGATGTGTGTTGGACGAGTTGTCCGAACCTGCCCGTAGTACATGCGCTCCAATCGCAACGCTGGCAAATAGCCATGCATCTTGCAAACACATAAATATTTGCCAGCAATCGAAATTGAAGGCGCTTAAATTGCGTTGTTATGGAATCGAGCTCATACAGCGCGGCGGTCCCGCAACGCCCGCTAGTCAAGCACGGACTCTGCCAGCGCGTATGTTGGGCGATCCGCCTGTATGGTGATCCCCCCCTCCAAGAGGACTTTGACCCCTTCCAGCGCATTTTAGAGTTAGGTTTTGAACTTAAAGACATTTCCTATAAACTTAGTTGGCTGGGGCATGTTTTGACCGCCTAATGACCAAGTAGTTGAACCCTGCCGGACTGTTGCTTTAATGGCATGCATCCATTCGCGAGGGAGCAATTGGATGAGTGGTTTATTTCTAATTTCTTTTCTCTCCGTTGTTGTTCGAGAGCGAATTGGATACGATAGTCCAATGAAGCATGTGCAGCACCATACGCTGAATGTGTGTCGTGGTTCGACCCGTTGCCCTCGGAAAGTGTAGCAAGATGAGTGACGGCTTTGTAATGCTCGATCGCTCACAGCTGCCTTGCATCTATTTCGATTCTACGCTACGCATTCACTTCCCTAAAACCTTCTGTTTGGACAGTACTCGCCGTTTGAAATCGAAATTCACGCGATATAACGCGAATCCTCGTTAATTTCGTGAATTTTATAACTCGGTTCAAAATTGAGCTTTCGAGAATCCGAAGATATCTTTGAATTCAGCTCGTCGGACACTATATGAATGTGCTTCGATACTTGGAAAAGCTCCATATAGGGTTGCGCCATGCACTCGATTTTCATCTCAAAAAGTAGTTCCTCGCATGTGATGTGTATATAATCCCGCTTATGTGGGCTGACCGCTACACACAGAGAAGGGCCTCAAAGCTCACCCCAGAATGCACCAAGTATTCAATCTCATCCACTACATTGTGAGAATAGATGAATGTTATTTTCCGAAATCTTAAATCTTCATTTCATTTTTAAGCGCTTACTGGCTTTACGTGTTCCCTCTGCTCTCAATGTCTCATCCTCTGTATACCAAGTGGAATCTTCGAACAGTTCTCAGCAGGCATAGTGGGCCTGTGACATTTTCCATTTTCAGAGGTGTTTTGCAGAAAGCTGTGAAGATGGCGAACAATTTCCTTCACTGTCGTAGACTACGGTCACGTCTGTAAGGATTATATGGAAACCTTGGTCGCAGGTGAGCGTTTGTGTGACCCCAAACATCATCCCTTGTCATGCCTTTGCCCCTATTACGTGACAAGTCCCATTTTTAGAGGAATGTTTTGTAGAAAGCTGTAAAGGAAGCGAAGGATTTCCTTCACCGTCGCAGACTGTGCTGTGCTATGCTCACTTGTCTGCAGGAATGATATGGAAAACTCGGTCGCAAGTGAGCGTTCCTTCCGTGGTGTGGCCCCAAGCATGCCTCCTCGTGATGCCCTTGTGGGAAGTTCAGATTTTTGCATTTCCAGATGAACTAGCAGACCTAAAATGTGCCCCGTTAGCTTCCCCGTGAAAAATGCTATCGAATGACATGCATTACTTCCCCAGTTGAAACTTTGGTTTTTCACCTTTATCAGCCTTGTTTTTACCTTTATCAGCCTTCCCCTATTGCCGGATTGGGCACTCCCACGATTACTGCCCCGAAATCTCACAGTTTCCTTTTTTC